CCCCAAAACCCCAAAACCCCAAAACCCCAACTCTTCAGACCCGAATTGAAATTAGAATCTTAATAGAAATAAAACTTAATCATAATTTCCTTCACAAATTCCATTTTTCCAACTTAGCCCCTACTTTTGGCCAAGTTCGTAGTACAAAATCTCTGTGTGGGCATAACCAAAAGAAGAATAGTCGGCTTAGGTTCTGACTGGAGTGAGGGTAATTGGAAAGCATGAAAGATTTTTTGTGTAGGATTGGAATAGGATGGAACTTTTTAGGAATGATGGAGGTTTAGATTAGTAGCGTAGTGGAGATACTTTTGGGGACTTCAGAGTCGTGTCTGTAGAATTGGCCTACCTCGACTCCGAAATATGTGAGATGGTCAAGAATGCTTTTGCCGATTTTGGAAAGAGAGCAGTGTTTATCTTCTCCTTCTGTGGAGCTACATACTTTGTAGCTCTCAAAATCTTTTTCATATAGAACTTCTGTAGCAGCATGATATGGGAAAGCAGGGAGTAAAAATCCATGCTTGACACAGCCGTGACCTAGCTCGTTGATACAGGGTGGGAGATGAGGAACAATATCATTATTGTGGATAACTCTATAGCATTCTTTTACGTTTGGAAAGAATTCTTCAATAAATTGAATATTTCCAACTCTTGGTTGACCAAAAGTGTAGATGTAAACATCAGTATTATTTAAGATTCCGTTTAGAATTGCATCTGCGGCTGCATGCATTGTAAGAGATCCTCCAAGAGAGTGTCCTGTAAAGATAACATCATATCCTGTATTCTCTTCTTTTGATAAAATATCAGTCATCTGCTCTAAGAAAGAACTTCTGAATTGGTTTTTATAATGCTCATAAAAGAAAGCAAATACTTTAACACCTTTATCCGGATGGATATCATATTCTTTAGGTACAATTTGTGCAATCTCATCAATGAGTTCCTCAGCTCCTTTAGTGCCAGAAAATCCCACAATAATCTGTTTCTGAGATTCTCTTTTCATTAAAGTCATATAGATTGGATTCTTCGAATCCTGGTTATCAAGTGAGAAAAAGGGAAGAATCCCTGCTTTCTCTGTTGCATCTCCTGCTGCTTTACAATTCCCTGCTAAAACTCTCTCTGTCGGACAATATGAAAGTGCTGAAGCATAGAGCATGTCTACTGCTAGCTCTTCAGAATAGTCACAGCTTACAAATCTATAAATAAATTACTCAAAACTTCTAGCTTACACTGTGATCATGACTATCAAAAGAAGTATTTTCATATTTCTTTTATGAAAGTTAATAAAAATGATAAGATTTCAATATTTTCCTTTTAAGAAGGGGTTTTGGGGTTTTGGGGTTTTGGGGTTTTGGGG